GTATTCATCCCCATTTTGCAGGAGGTAGTGGGAGCAGAGAAGTAGACACTGCTCAGGGTCTACCCCATATCAGGTCACAAGCAAAACAGCCTGAGCCTTTGGGATGCTGTTTCTAGGGAGTAACTACCAATCCTACTTTTCATGGGGGGAAACCAGGGCTCAGAGAGGCTAAGGCACTTGTCTGAGGTCACACAGTCAACCTCAGAGGTTTGTCTGCCTTCAGGGCCAGCCAGCTTAACCGCCACCACCTCTGCACCATAACAAATTTAAGTGTTCTACTTAGCCCTGGGTGTGGAGCTGGCAGGCTCCCAGAGTCAGGGGTCAGAAAGTTATAGCCCTGAAGCCACCTTCTGAGCTATCACTACCTCTGGAAGGATCAAGGGGTCAGAAGTGCTTACACACAGGTGCAGATAGCCACAAGGCCCCTCTGAGGCTGGCTTGCCTCTTGAGCCACAGGGTGAAAGATGCCTTTATGGGCCAGGGTGAGATTTTTATCCTGGTGGTTTCTCTTTAAATTCTTTACGATTACGAAGCAGTGGGGGCTGCCAAGGAACATGATTTACTCCTTGAGCATGCACCAGCTCCATGCTCAGTGCCAAGGGAAGCTGGAGCCAGGCAGGGAGGGGCAGGCAACATGCCAGGGAGCTGGAGACGAGGCCTGTGCTGGGGAGGCCCAACCAGTGGCAGTCCCATCCAAAGTGTGGCTGGACCCAGATGGGCAACAACTGAAGGCCCCAGCCCATGGTCCGGCTGAGTCAGACTGGGCCTCACACAAGTTCTTGGATAAATTCAATGACTGTCTCTACTTTCTCCATGGGTCAATTGTCATCCTGGTTCATCCTGGAATACACACCGATCCCTATCGGATTAGTTCCACCTGACCCCAGGTCAGCTTCCTGAGGCCACTCTTGGCCTCAGAGCTCCTGGGTCTCTTCCTTCTACTCTGCAATTGAAAGCTCTGTGTCCCAGTTTGGCTGGCCATGGAGCCCCTGAGGGGCAAGAACAGGTCATCTAGCTCTCCAGCCTTATTCCCATCCCCATCCCCACCCCAGTAGCTAAGCCTGGTTCCAAGGCTGCAGGCCTTCCACCTTAACCCCTATTGTGACCTCTCCTGACTTCCAACCTTGTCATTTCTGAACAAGATCTGGCAACCTTGGTCCTCGGATGCACATGCAAATGATGTGACTGGTACTACTCTTCTGAGCCATTCTCCACCCAGAATCTAAGCCAAAGCAGGTGGGAGAGCAGCGACCAGCCCCACCCATTTATCCTTAATCACTAAGGAGTCAGCTGCACCTCGGGTCAGAGAGGGCCCAGATGCAGAGAGGCTCTGGACACCGAAGCCCCTTTTCTTTGGGGTCCTGGTTGTCTCATGTCTGACTTAAGAGGGCTTCTTGGCAGACACTGTTCAGTAGAATTATAGCCTGAAAATAAGCAAACTCCGTTTCTGCTCCTTTAGTAGACAGAAGACAAGAGGAACCTGCCGGTGCCACACCAGCCCTTTCCTCGGGAAACAATACTATGACCACTGAAGCTGGCTCTGCAGGATCCTAGAACCCAAGCTGTAACTCATGGCTACAGGTTGTGTCACAGCATCGCCAGGACCCCACCCTCTACTCTCAGTCCTGGAGCAGGTTTAGGCATCAAGCAGAGCCAGGCACAATTTCAATCTTCCACTTGGGTGACCTAGGAAGCCCCTCTGAGCCTCCTTCTCAAAGGTAACTAACTGGGCAGCCTCTGCTCAGGCCTGGGAGAGACTACAGCCTGTTTATCACAATAGGCACCTACCCACCCTTATTTCCATTATTTTCATCTTTCCTGACCTCCCCTCACAAGGTGACCCTTTGTTCCCTCTCCCTTTTCCTGCCTCAGTTTTCCTCGTAGTCCAACTGCCTGCCATCACAAGATCCCTCTCTCCGACCAAACATCTTTTGACCCCAAGTCCTAGCCAAAGCTAGTCCAGGCAGCAGCAGTGCATTGAAGGGCGGCTTCCTGGGAAAAAGTAAACACTCTCCAAGCTAAACAAAGGACCGGGCAGGGCCTTGCACCTCCCTACTGTTGCAGGGGATGGAGGTGGTACCCCAGGGCCTAGAGTCATCTCAGGGTAGGGAAAGGAAGAGCTTTTTCATGGAGACCATCTGTGACTCTGGGTGAAAAGGACTCCAGACCTTGGGAAAATGGGGAGGGGAAGAGGGCTCCAGTCCCAGGCATCCATGAATTCTCCAGAACCCAGAACTGAGAATCAAAGAGCGCTTTGCCAACTCCTGGAAAACTGTCCCATTTTACCCCTCACTTGGACCTTGTCTGTGCTACTGATGGAAGCTAAGGAGATGAGCCATAGGAGTTACCAATCTGAACTCTGGGCCCCTTTGCCCTCACAACCTTCAAGTTCTAAATCTGGCTGGGGTGCCTGGGCGGGCAGGGCAGCAAGCCCAAGTCTGACACCAGTTCCTGCCTTTGTTCCTTTATCTGGCCTGAACAGTGTGACCCCTTATGCCAGCACCTCTGCTTTGGAGGGTCTAGCCCTACCCAGGCTAGAACTGGTACTCCTGCCTGCCAGTTGCTATATCTATCCAAGCACAGAAGGAGAGTCAGGGAGCCCAAGTGGCCAGTGGTGCTTCTGAGAACAACCCTTTCTATGCCCTCCTGTGTACCCTGGAAGGAAAAACTCCCTTCCCCATTTCCCAGCATGTAGCCTAGCTGTGGGAGTCCAGTTTCTCTAGGCCTTGGTCTTTATTCTTTCTCCACAAGCATTTGGTGAGGACCTTCTCCTCACTGAGGGACACTTGTATATATATAATCAGCTGAGATCATTCAGCATGGAGGACTCAAAGGCACAGTGCACACTGGCTCCCCAGGGCACTGATCAACTGAATATCCATTGTCTTTTCAGCTGTCTACCTGAGAGCACCTCATCTCATCCGCAGCAGTCACCAGCATTCAGCCAGGGCCAGGTGCACAATAGGTGCCCAAGAATCTGCTAAATTGAAGCAATTAAGCATAACACTAGAATGCAAGGCAGGTGGGGACAGGGACGGTCATTCTCTGCTGGTAAACCTGCCTGGGGAGGGGGTGGCCCCAGACAACCTCCAGCCCTACCCCAGTCCTCCACAGCATGGGGCACCCTAGGCTGGTTGCCAGCAAGCATGGCTTTTAGTCACTGTGGGTGTCGGCTTCAGAACTAATTGAGAGGGAATCGACCCAACAAGATGTGGGCGCTGGCAAGGCCAGGACACCAGGGTTCTATTTCTGGCCTCGCTTCTGCCTCTTGCTTGACTGACCTTGGCTCTGCCCTTGCTTGAGACTCAGTTTCTCTCTCTGGAAAACAGGGACAAAAGCCTTTGCCCCTTTACCCTTGGAGGTCCAAGAAGGTTAAAAGGAATGTCTTGTCCTCCCTGTTTCCCAGAGTGGACACAGGATCCCTAGGGTATGGAACCCAAGCCACCCCTCCCTGCCTCTGTGAGGGAAGGAGACACTCCACTGGCCCTGCAGACACCCTGGGCAGGGAAGGGACTGAGGAGTGGACCTGACTCCTTCAAGATTTATTAATCTGTTCTGAAGAATTCCACCAGGGAAGGGTGGAGGTATCAGCAGAATAAATATCTCACCTACCCAAGCCTGGGAAAGGGGGGTGCTTTTCTAACCCGAATGGATTAACTCTTCTCTGCTCATTTCCCAGGCTGTACTGAGGACTCCCTCCAGGCCCATCCTCAGAAATTCCAGAAGTGAGGGGCTAGGAAAGCTCATGATAGGCAGCTCACTCCCCACTCTTTCCATCTAGTTGCCTGGGTGGCATGAGGCCAGGGAGGGGCCCTATGAGGGAGGGGGGACATTTGGTAAGATGGGGGCTGGGTCTCAGCCAAGCCTGAGGAAGGAAAGGTCAGCCCAGCCTTTCAATATGGCTGCCCGGAAATCTGGCCAGCCAAGGCTGAGTTGGCCCCACCCAGGGCAGAGGAGGCTGGACAAAGTTACCTCTGGCCAGAGAATAGCTGAGGCTGAGAACTCAGCAATGACCCCAGATTCCCCAGACCCCGGCATGGCCACTGCCCCTCTCCCCAAGCTCAGGTTGGACTCTGGAGGCCACATCCTCCATTGAGGAAGTTGCTAGCCAGGTGAGCTATAATGTCCTCTTGGGTGCGTGCACCATGTATTCACCTGCCCAAGTGGGTTAGGTGCAAAGGTGATGGAGCTGGGAACTAGCTGCAGACCCCAGCACATCATTAAAACCTTCCAATGGCACTGGGGATGGTGGCATGCACCTGTGGTCACAGCTACTCAAGAGGACGAAGGATGACGGGAGCCCAGGGGTTTGCAATCAGCCTGGGAAACACAGTGTGGCTTCATTACAAAATAAACAAGCAAATAAAATAAAAGACAAACAAACAAATAAAAACCCTTCCAGTGAGTTTCCAATCAAAGTCTCACTAGGGATCCAGGGAGCGAGGTCTCTCATAATAGCATGAGTTTTCCCTGAACCTATAACAGGCCACAGTGACTGACTCCCAGATTCCTGGGAACCCCTCCCACTTGGAGATCATAGGAAGGCTCCTTAGAACCCATGCTCCAACAGGGGAGGTGCTGCTCCTCCAGCTTGGTGAGGCTCCAGTGTCTGCCTCGATGTCTCTACCCAGGGGCTGCCCAGGACACCAGCATACACTACAAAGCAATTTCAGGTTTAGAAGGAATAACATACCCATTTCCTCAGCTCTCACCTTCAGGGAATCAGAGACAGATTCCCTGAACACCGTGAGCCACATAGCCCAGGAACATAGATGCCCAGACTCTGGACCCTTTGTCAAAATATTTAAGTGGTCTAGTCTCCAGCCTTTTCCAGCAAGACTCCATCTCCTGTGTTGCCCTTCCCACCATGCCCAGGAAAACCCACGTGGCTGTACAATCTGTCCCTTTTTTGCCCCGGCCCTTCTTCTCTTTCTTGTGCAGTGGAGTCAAGTGCTCTGAAGAAAGAAAGATTTCTGGGGAAGATCAAGGCAGCCTCTTACCTTTGTATGAGAGCCGGACGCGGGGAGTGGCCTGGAAGTGGTCTTGGGTAGGGGTGGCTGACCAGACCCCACTCAGTAGGGAAGCCCAGAGGAGGAGACCAGTGACAAGCATTGTGGGAGGGGCCTAGGGCCCAGGAAGCAGGCTTGGTCTCTGGACACCTAGGAGAGGAACAAGATTGGAATGTATGAAGCACATGAGGGATTCCCTCCTTACCAACATTTCCCTTATTCAATTTCTGCCCAAGGTACCTCAGTTTCCCTACCTGAACAAAAAGAGTAAACGGGGCGGGGTCTTCATGTTCACACACCCCACTTGGGGTCATAAATGCTCCAGTGTGCAGACCTGATATATGCTCTTCTGCCTTTGTCTGGGAAAGTGTCACGGACAAACAAGACCAGGCCATGGTGGGTGGCTTGGGATCACCAGAGCTAATGAGGAGCAGCTGGAGACTTAAATTCTACCCCTCATAGAATCCTGAATTACATTCAAAGGGTCTAGCATGAGCAGGTGATCTTGGAGCCCTCTCCAATCCCCAGTAGGCTCTCTCCCTTGCACCCACTGCCAGGAAAGTGGACTCCTTTTCTCTCTCCCACCTTGAGCAATGGAGGAAGAGATGGGTTTCATCCCTGAATGCTCTAGCCAAAGTTTCCCTCCCAGTGGATGCAGGGAAATCTGGACCTGATTATTGGTGTGTGGAGAAGCACGGGAGAGAACTGGGAGGATGAGCAAGACACACACAGACAGCCTAAAGCAGAAGGGACAGCATCAGCAAGAAAAAAAGAGATGTACAGAATAGCAGGGCTCAACTTTACTAAAGTCAAAGCAGGAAGGACCCAGGTCAGACAGGCAGAAGGACTTCCTGCCAGGAAAAGTTCCAGTTTTGACCCTAGAGGGTGAAGAAGGGGAGCTAGGATGGCCAGTGGGCCTGGGGCAGGGTATGAGATGGCTGAATTACCTCCTTCAGACCCCCCACATCCTTAGCAGATCCAAGTTTCAATACTATGTTTTTCAAATATTGTCTCCCCAGGCAGGCTGGCTGTTGGGTAAACGCAGCCCAGCACCAGTTGTCAGAACATATTGCTCCCTCCCGGCATAAACCAGCGCCAACTCCTACCACCCCCAACACACACACACACACACACACACACACACACACACACACGGAAGCATGGGTTGGGGGGGTCATCAAGAATGATAATGTAAGCCCCATTCCTTAGTCTGCCCTGTCTGTTCCCAGGGAGGTAAGACCCAGGCCCATTTCTAAGACTCTTTTGGGGGTGGGGGGCACTGTGGCCTATTACTCCCTTGACATTGCTAACTAATGCTGAGGCAAGAACCAGGCATCACATCGGACTCTTAGGCCTCACTGGACAGACCCTCATGCCCTCCCAAGACCCACATCCCCTGAGCTCTTTCCTCTCCTGCCAAGGCAAACCACTCATGGTTCCTCAAACAGGAAGTACAGCTTCAGGCCTCCTGGCTTATTCCTCATGTGGTGCTCTCTGTGGGAACATGGCTCCAGAATGCCTGGCACACCTCTCATGTTCCTTAAGATATCCTCCATCCCAGATGCTCCCTCTTGAGGAGGCCAGTTGGGGGTGGGGAGAATCAGAACCAGCCCCTCCCCCCCAGTCTGCTGGGGCACAAAGCTAGTGCTGACGGAAAAGCGGGCTCTGATAAGGGGGACGGGTGGGAGAAAGGGCTGTGCAATCTCCCTCACCCACCTGGGAGGGCCCCCACTAACAGTCTTGGATGTATACACTTCCATACCTGCATGCCTATGCAGGTCCTCACAGGCATGACTTTGCTCAAGAACTTGACCTGCTAGTGGGGTGGGGCTCAGGAAAGCTGGGAGATACTGTCCTGGCTTGGGAGGGATGCATTCTCAGTCCCTTTGAGAGCTTTGATTCTATGTAGCAGGGGGCTCCTGTCAATCTGCCTCCCATCTACCCCTTCCCCTTCCCCGTGACCTCATTTTTCTTGCATCCATTTTCATGGTGACAAAGGTCAGGGTCACCAAGGACAGAAGTTAGATTCACCCAAGGTGTCCAGGAAGGTGGGGGACTTCCCATAGTGCCCCTACAGGGACCTCCTACAATGCTCTGGCCCTTGAGAGAGGTGAATGGGGGATGCGAAGTCTGCTGGGGTCTCAGGCCTAAGTCCAGGCTCCCTCTTTAGCCTAATGATGGCAGAAAGAAGGAGAAGGAAGGAAGAAGAGGGAAAGGACTGAAAGGGAAAGGGGGAGGAGGTTTCCACAGTCCCTTCCCCTCTGTCAGCCCCTAGATGCCTTCTACTTGGCCCCAGCCCCCTAAAAGCCCCCAAATCGGAACAGATTCAAATGGGTGGACAGAGAAGGAACAGCCACCGCCACCTGGGAGCCCACCAGGAGGAGGAGGGCTGAGAGGGAGAGGAGGAAAACTGGCGGGAGGGAGTAAGGGAGGGAGGAGGAGAGAGGGAGGAGGAGAGAGGGAGGAGAGAGGGAGGGACGGAGGAGAGACGCCTGAACAAAGAAACGAGGAGCTGGGGCTGGCAAGGGGTGCAGGGAAGGGGCGGCTAGAGGAAGAGGTCCGGAGGCACCTGGGGGCTGGACAGGGGGCCAGGTGGTCGAATTGTCCAGCCTGATCCAGACCTCCCAAGCTCAGTGAGGGGTTGGGGGTGGACAGCCTGCCTCAGGAAAGGGAGGTTGGCTCTTCTGAACTGAGAACTGCCTAGATGGAAATAAGACAGAAACAGGGGCTGTGGGGGAACATGGGGAGGAAATTATTAAGAGCACCCCACCAGCTACTCAACCCCTCAGATATAAACCACCCACCCACCCCCCAGCTCCTTCCTGGCGGCTGGCTCCCCCTCCCCCAACACCTCATGGACCAGGAAGCAAAGCAGCCCCAGCATAGCTGGGACTGAAACCCCGCTTTTGTGGCCAGGGTTTTCCAGTCAAGGTCACCTGGGCCTGGCTCCATCCTCCCCCCACCCCAAGGTATGCAGAGCAGCAAGGACTGAAGCTAGGGCTTCTGGCCTTCTCTCTGGCCCCCACCTCTGCACTTCCGGGCTTGGCTTCTTCAGAACTGAGGGGGAGCAGTTGGGGTAGGTATGCCTATGCCCTTGTCTTGCCCAGACATGGGGTCCAGGCACACCCCCCTGAGTAGCCTGGGAAGAGGCCCCAGCTCCATCTAACACGCTGGGCTGGGATGAGTCTCCTGATCCCTGGGCAGTTTTCCCATCTCTGCAACTAGGATAGTGGCTTCTGGGAGACAAACTGGGTGAATTTAGAAGGACAAGGGGTCTCCAACCTGGCTCAGCTCCAGGGTGAACACACTGGTGCCTTCCATTTGTCCTCTCTCGAGTCACTAATCGGCTGGTGGCAAAATGCAGCTATCTCGAAAATTAGGAGTTATTTATCCATCAAGGTCCCCAGTTCTAGTTCCAAAGGACTCCTCTTGCCAGCACTACCTAATTCCTGGGCCACCCTGACATCCTCCTGTCCTACTTGCTCCAGGCAAGCCCATCAAGCCCCTATTGACCCTGTTACACTTAAGTAGTGGGGCCCTGGGTTCAAACAGGGGCTTGACTGCAGGATCATTTCCACTTCCACATGCAGGGGACCCATAAACCCAAGCAGGACTCCCTGCTGTAAAAGCAAACCCAAGATGCAGCTGAGGGTCAAGGGGATGGCAAAATGCTAGGAGAAAAACCTCTGAGTTGGCTGTGTTCCTGCCCTACTGATCAGGGCAAACCCCTACCCCCGTGGGTGCTGCCAGTATAGCGCTTTCCTTCTGACTGACCCGGTCTTCAGATAGGGACACTGAGGCAGGGCAGGCGTACCTAATGCAGAAGAGTGCTGCCTCAGGCGTTAATGGGAAAGAAAACTGAAAACAGGAGAAGGGGAATCGGAACTCCAGCTCCAGGAGCGTGAGGGTGAAGGTATCCACCTATTCGGATCCCTGCGGGTGGGGGAAAAAGTTGCTTTGCACACTGGTGACCCCACAGGCCACATCACCCAGACATCCATGCATCATTATACAGCCCCAGAGCTAAGTGGTCCGGACCGCCGGGACAGGTACGAAGCCCACCCTAGTCCTGTAGCCTCCTGCGTCTTCGGGCAGTGCCTCGGCTTGCCGAGTCTAGCTCACTGGACACTTCTGCAGAGTTGCAGTGCCGCGGATCCCAGAGGGGTCGCGAGGTGGCCCGGCCGCCTGCCCACTCCCTCCGGATACCGCTGCACTCACCTTTTCTGAGGCGGCGGGGCCTGGGCGCCCGGGCGGTGTCGACCGCAGTGGTGGCGGAGCGGCTCTTGTTGGGCCGGCCCGCTCTAGCGGCCCCCCGGGGCCATGGCCCTGCCCGCGCCCTCTTGCCGCTGCGCTTGAGCACAGATCCCCCCCCTCATGTTCCTTAAGATATCCTCCATCCCAGATGCTCCCTCTTGAGGAGGCCAGTTGGGGGTGGGGAGAATCAGAACCAGCCCCTCCCCCCCAGTCTGCTGGGGCACAAAGCTAGTGCTGACGGAAAAGCGGGCTCTGATAAGGGGGACGGGTGGGAGAAAGGGCTGTGCAA